AAAAATGACATTAATTTTAACAATAGTTTAATTAAATTCATCATATTAGTAATGATATTAAAATTAATGTGAATTTTTATATTTTTTAATATAAAATTAATACCAAAAAACTACAATAAATGCACATTTAAAATACATATTAAAAAATCTTTGATAATTTATAAAGATTTTTTTAATTTGTACTTTTAAAAATATAATTAATACACTTTTTAATCTTTAATTTGTATAGAAAGATAAAAAAAAAATTGATATTAATTGTAATGTTAATGCCACTTTGATATGTAACTAATTTTTAATCCACATATCATTTGTACTAAAATTAAATTTTATAATTTTTTATATGTAATTAAAAAATATATTTGTTACATATTTACCATGTGTGCTTTTTAAGACATAAAATGGAAAATGCCATACAATAGTCTACATTAACTTGGTTAAAGAGAAAATCAAGTTTCTTAATATCAAAAAAATAAAAAAACATTTAATAATAATTATGTAATAAATTTAATAAAATTTAAATTAGGTGTCATATATTTAATAACGGTAATTGAAAAAAGACAAAATAAAAATGAATTGACAAGAAGACTGAGACTAATCTATTATTAAGGACTAACAAATTGAGTAAATTATTGGGACAGAAAAGTCAAGTCTATGCTGGCCTATGCCTTGCATGCACATTCCATATATTTCCATAATACCAAAACAAACAAAATCTGAGAAATCTCTCCACACCGCCATTGATATTAGTGAGAGAGCGGACTACTCTTGAGTCTAGACTCATGGCCATGGCGGCAACTGGAGTTTGCGCTTATGCCACCGGTTACTCGCCGGTGTTCCGCCGGGACAGGGAGATGACATCTTTTAGGCCAATATTAATGAAGCAAAGCCGGACTCCGGCATTCGCTGTATCCACGTTGTCGGAGCAGGCATCAACGGTAACTAATCCCAAGTCAACGCTTCCTCAGAACAATGGAAAATTTCAGGACCAAGAAGCGAAGAGAAATGTTTATGCCAATATGGACGAATTACCGGAGGAAGACGAAGGTAGGAAGACGCTCAAGGATTTCTTTGAGGCCTGCAAAGAGTTTATCGGATCCGACGGCGGTCCGCCTAGCTGGTTCTCTCCCTTGGAGTGCGGCTGCAGGGCACCGGATTCTCCCCTGCTTCTCTTTTTGCCTGGTCTGTTTTGTCTTCTCTCTTCTCACTACCATTTTTTTTTTTTTTTTGTCTCTGTCATTTTAATATATCCTTTATATATCTAATCCTCCGTCAATGAAAATCAAAGGATTCAAGCCTCTTTCTGCAAACTGGAATTAATAATTTCCTTGTGTAGCAAATGGAGCTATCTTTGAATTCATGAGACATGAAAATGAGTTTTGATTTGCATCAATTAGAAACTAAAATAATTAAATTCTCAGGACTTGATGGCACCGGACTTGGGCTTCTAATGCATCACCAGAAATTAGGAAAGTAAGCAGAAATTTTAGCTCATGAATTCATCTACTGGTAGATGTATTTATTTTCTTAAATTAGTTTGAATTTAGGATTAGGATTTTGTTTTAATTTGGACCTCACACTTGTTGATCAGCTAGTCCTGTGCTTACTAATGTTGTTCTTAAATGAAATGAAATGAAGGATCTTTGAAATTTGGTGCTTGCATATTCCAGTCAAGGACAGGACATCTTTTACAGGTATCCAATGATGAGTAGTTGTGGACTGCGTACATGTACGGTAACATGTTTGTTAATACAAATTTTGGTTTTAATTTTCTGTGTTTCTCATGGGATTCAGGCCTAGTGCAGCTTGTTGAAAGTACAATTAGGTCAGAGTACTCCAGGTCACCAAATAGACCAATATATCTTGTTGGGGAATCCCTTGGAGGATGCCTTGCCTTAGCTGTTTCAAACCGTAACCCTGATATTGATCTTCTACTTATCTTGTCTAACCCAGGTAAGGACTAGATTTGTTGTAATTCTTTACAAACAGCATTCCTTGACATCGTAATTGTATTTTTGCAATATTCACAGGTGTGCTATTATAATTTCCTTCCTAAAAGTTATAAATGGAATCAGTTGCCAAACAATTGGTTTGCCAAAACTGCTGTGCCTTTGGTAGATGTAGATCCTTCTTTGCGAAAATGCTTTACTTGCCTTCGTACCAAGCCAAAATGGTTGTCATTGTAAGATGTGTTTTAGAGTGCATTATACATCTTTCTTTAGTTCATATTAAGAAGAAATTCTGATTTTCATTTACATGCTACAAATTGTGGAAAGATAAATGATGATTTTAAGTCACAGGTTCTGGTTGAAATCTTACCCAAAGAATTGCTTGAATGGTAGCTACAAATGCTGAAATCTGGTTCTGCATATGCCAATTCACGTCTCCATGCTACAAAGGCTGAAGTGCTATTACTTTGCAGGTAACTTGATGATTTTTCTTTCAGTTTTGAAGAGCTATCGATCAACATAAAATGGCTTTGTCTAAACTTGAGGTTCTCCTCTTTAGCAGTTAATTCACCAAACAGAAAAATGAAGTTAGGAAAACAAAATTATTGAAAGAAGCAGTCAACTGAAAATGGCAGAATCAAAAATTATAAACAAAGAAAGATTGAACAATGTTTCTTCATAACCTAAATGTATAATGCCTGCTTCTCTATTGTTACAATTAGCAAAAAGATGTTCACTTGCAGTTTTTTTCATCACAGTCCTAAATATGTGCACTATAACAAACCATGTTGAAGTGCATCTAGTCATTCAGATGAATCTACGTAACTTATAATGCCATCTGTTTAGGGCAGCACTGCAACAAAGTTTACCTGTCTAAATTTGAAGTTTAATCACCTCATAATCATCTTTGGTTGAATTGACCATTTGTTTTCTAGCGGAAGAGATCAATTGTTTCCAAGTCAAGAGGAAAGTGAAAGGCTACGCCATGCACTCCCAAATTGTGAGATTCGTAAATTTGATGAAAGCCACCATTTTCTCTTCCTGGTATATCTCTCTCAAACTGTAGGTCTTGAGAGGAGGAGGGTGTTCTTTTGGGCATTTGAAGTTTCACTTTTTTCCCTTTTTTGTCCTAAATTTTACTTTAGTTGTCATCTTAGATTATAAGGTTTTATGATGTTACAAAACAGTTGTTTTGGCCTCTCATGCGGGAAGATGGTATTGATTTGGTAACAATCATCAAGGGAACTGGCTTCTATCGTCGTGGAAAATACCATGACTCTGTGTCAGATTACAAGCCACCTACACCTGCTGAATTCAAGAAGTTATATGACTCAAATAGGTAAGCATCTTTGGACAAAGCAGATGTCAATCATGTACCAAGAGGCTAGAGATATACCAATTGTATTCTGTCATGAGTAGGGTGCAGAATAACAAGAGCTTATTGTTGTGTCGAGAAGAAGAGCATATTAGGTCAGAGATTAATTAGTGGAATATTGATGACAGCCAAACCTGGCACCTATTGTGCTCATCATAGGCATTTTATATATATTTAATTGAATTGCAGTGCTATCACATATAAGTCTTGATTCTGGATTTCTTAACTGACTTTGTTCCTAGCTCAATGGTTAAATGTTGCTCTTAGCCCTGTGATGCTGTCAACTACCGAGGATGGGAAGGTGGTGAAGGGTCTTGCTGGGATTCCATCCGAGGGACCTGTCCTGTATGTTGGTTATCACATGTTACTGGGACTAGAAGTTATTCCCTTGGTATCTGAATTTCTTACACAGAAAAATATCCTCTTGCGAGGGATAGCACATCCAATGTTGTTTGAAAGATTGAGAGAAGGCAGGTTGCCTGATGTATCAACCTTTGACTCAATACGATTAATGGGTGCAGTTCTTGTTTCAGGTGATGCACTAAAATCACCCTAACAAGTGTACTAGTTGCTCCAAGTAATATAATGATGAATAGAGTGTCGAACCCATGAGAATTGTGTTTAATTAAGTACCAAAATAATTAATCTAAATTTATTTGAACAATCAAATAGGAAAAAACTTTAATTGAAAATAATAAAAAGAAAATAACAAATAAATTTAATCAAGATAGGAGGTACTAAGGTATTGATTTCACCATAATCAATCAATATAAATTTTGGATTATCAAATTGTTGAGTGTTATTGCATGTGATGGCGAATTTCCCTAAATTAATTAACTAGCTTTCTCAAGTCAAGTTAATCATTCACTGGTTTGTTAAATTAATCATATCTCTATATAATTTTAAACAAACTAATGAGCATTAGATTTTATGGAAACCTCTAGCTTAAGAAGGGGGAGGTACTAACTCTCTTCTCTTCCTCCACTACCACATGTGATTTAATTATCTCTCGGTCTCATAGTTTAACACACGGTTTATATTATTATTGGTCTAATCTACGCAATTCTTTCTCAAGTTCATGCATAAATCACTAAATCAATTGAAATATGATCAGACTTCCAATACATTAAGTTCAATAATATAAACTTCTCACGCGAATAACTTTAATTGAAATAATAAAATCACAAAATCCATGTTAAATTGATTAGGTTATATTGTAGCCCTAGTAGAATAAATCAGTTAATAATAAAAATAATAAAATATACAATCATAGTTATGAACAAGGAAGAATAAAACCCAATTTGAGGAAATCGAACTCCTTGATTTTCTATTGTTGAATCCTCTATCTTGACCTCCAAGAATGCCCAAAAGAGGGCTGCCACCAGCCTCTCCACAAAGCTCTCTTCATTCTGAATTTGAATGGGTATTTATAAGATTTTAGAAACCCTAATTGAAATAGAAGTAGGACTTGGAATAGAAATAGGAAACTAAATTTTAGATGCTGACCGCGTGGTGCTGACACTTTGGATTACGTGTTGACACAAAATAGGAAACAGAATCTGATTTTGGACGTTTAGCGCATGGTGTCGACACCCCGATCATGTATCGACACTACACTCGTGTCGGGTTTCTGGTCTCCTTTTGCAATTTCTTCAATGGTAAAATAGCAGATTTGGTTCCTGACTTCTAGATTCTACACAAGTTGATCCTCAGGTTTTTGATTTCTTCAATTTACTTCTAAAAAGTAGGATTTCTTCCAATTAAATCGTTTCCTACATAAAAGATGAAAACCATGTAAAATCAAACAAAATCCATAAAACTCATCCAAATATCAATAATATCAAAGTAAAAATTCCCTATTAATATATATATAAATTTAGCTCATCACAGGGACAAATTTGTACAAACTTATGTCTTCAAAATCTCATAGCCTGTTTTTTTTTTTTGAAAAGTCAAAAGATAAATATTGCTGTGAGTACAAGGGGTACTCAAACCCGTAACAACACTATCGAAATTGGACTAAGCAAAAGCCCTACAGAAAACATATAACCCACAAACGCAACACTTACTGCAGGTGTTAAGAATTGCTACCTGGTATTTAGCAGACTACCCCCATCCTTCCTACTGTCACGGCTGATCCTCAAGCATTCTAATGGATTTTGTATCCAGTCGAGGAACGAGAAGAAGCACCTGTTGCTCTTGTTCTTTATCCAATGAAAGGAGCGTAGTTGAATGAGCTCGAAGAGTCTTTCTATGTCAGCCCCCTTCCCACTAAATGTTCTCTCATTCTGTGCTAGCCAGATTGTCCAAACCAATGTGAACCAGATACAATCCCATCCCTTCTTCACACCTGGCTTATATACCAGATGAGGGTGCTGTTCAAATACCCTGCAGCAATCCTTATCTAGCGCAGTAGATACTCCCCACCACTTAAAGCATGCTGTCCAAAGTCTATATGCTACTATGCAATGAATAAATAAATGGTTGGAGTCTTCACACTCCCTGCCGCATAGATCGCACATGCACTCTGAAATGTTCTGGAAGATACCTCTTTTCAAAAGATTAAGCTTCGTTGGAGCTCTGTCCTGCACTACTTGCCAAGAGAAGGCTGCTATTTTATTAGGGGTGAAAACATTCCATACTTTGCTTAAGTCTACTCTATGCTGTGAAGAACTTAGTGCTTCTGTTAGAACTTGATAGGCTGTTCTTGTGGAGTAGCAACCGTCCTTAGAGTGTACCCACAAGCACCGGTCCAGCTCACCTCTCACCACTAGGGTTCTTTGTAGCTCTCTCTGCAGAACTTCTTCTTGATGTTTCTCCCAACTAAACAAGCTTCTCCTCCATTGTAACTTCCACTTCCATGCTCCACTCACCCACTCCCCCATCTGGGAAATTTTGTTATCTTTTCCTGTTGACAGAGCATATAGCCTAGGAAATTTGTTAGCAATGCTCTCCCCCCCACTCCAAATGTCCCACCAAAATTTGACCGACTCTCCTCCCCCCACTTTTATTTTAATCCCATTGACTAGCCATCCCTGATTCTCCACTGCTATAGTGTCTAGCCTGCATATGTCTCTCCACCACAAGGAACCGAAATTAAAACCCCCCCCTCAGCCAATTACAGCTATGTTCCCCTTCTATGCCATACTTTTCACATATGACCTTCTTCCAAAGACCTCTCTCCTCCGACACTATCCTTCCCCACCATTTACCTAACAGAGCGAAGTTAAGTTTCCTCAGATCTTTTACTCCTAGTCCTCCTCTTTCTTTATCCTTGCAAACCTTATCCCATTTCACCCAATTTATCCTATTCCCCCCTTTACACCCACCCCACAGAAAATTCCTACGGACTTTGTCAAGAGTACGGATCGTACCTTTTGGCATCACATACATCGACATCCAAAAGACCGGGAGGCTGGACAGCACTGAATTGATAAGTGTGAGTCGACCCCCAAGAGACAAGTAGCTGGCCTTCCATGTGGATAATTTCTTGGAAAACAGATCTACCAAAGGTTTCCAGAACCCAAGACTTCTGCAATTACCTCCAATAGGAATTCCTAGGTACTTGAATGGGAATGTTCCTTTTTTGCAGCACAGAATCCACGACATTTTATCTAGCCAGTCTTCCCCCACACAAATACCCAACAATTGGCTCTTATGGAAGTTGATTTTCAGACCAGAGCATAGCTCGAATGCTCTCAGGATTCCTTTCATTGCCCACACGTTTTCCTCTGTGGCTGAACCGAACAATATCGTGTCATCAGCATATTGCAGATGTGAAATTTTGAGGTTCCGAGAGCCCACCTCCACTCCTTGTAGTAAACCCTTCTGAGCAGCCGTGCTAACCAAGCCATTCAGCCCTTCTGCAGCAATTATAAACAAAAAGGGGGATAAGGGATCCCCTTGCCTGAGTCCCCTTGAAACTGAAAATTGCCTTGTCGAGCTCCCATTGACTAGAATTGACACGGAGCTCGTTTCAAGGCACTCCCTGATCCATTTCCTCCAAGTGGAGCAAAACCCCATTCTCAGCATCATATAGTCAAGAAAGCTCCAGCTGACCTTGTCGTAGGCCTTTTCAAAATCAATTTTAAACAAAAAGGTACTCTTCTTTCTCTTCTTAGCTTCATCGACTAACTCGTTTGCAATAACGACTCCATCCATTAGCTGCATACCGCTAATGAATGCCATCTGTTGCTCGCCAATTAGCCCGTCAAGCACCTTCTTTAATCTGTTAGCAAATATCTTGGCCAAAATTTTATAAATAACGCCGATAAGCGAGATAGGTCTGAACTCCTCGATCCTCTGCGGGTTGTCCACCTTTGGCACTAGGACAATAAAAGACGAGTTCAAACCCCGCACCATTTTGCTGTTTTTGTGAAACTCTTGTAGGAAATCAATGACATCCTCTTTGATTACTTCCCACTCACTCTTAACAAATCTGAAATTAAATCCGTCGGGTCCCGGCGCTTTCGAGCTATCGCATTCCCATATTGCTGCCTTAATCTCTTCAGCAGTAAAAGCCTCGATGAGCTGTCTATTATCTACGGGTTGCACTTGCTTGAAACAAACCCCTTCCAATTTTGGGCGCTCCCCTTGCTCCTCCTTGAACAAGTTTTCATAGAACGCTGCGATCTCTTCTTTCAAACTACTCACTTCTTCAACCTGTGCCCCCTTAATGATAATACTATTTATTTCACTCCTTCTCCAGTTGCCCTTCACACAATTATGAAAGAATTTTGTATTGGCATCCCCCTTAAGCAGCCAAATCTTCCTTGATTTCTGGTGTAACATGCTTTCCTTAATTCTAATGTTTTTCCATAAGACTAGGGTAGCTCCCTCCTACTTTTGATGTCTTCTTCTGAGAGCTGATCTCTCTCGCCCTTCAGATCAACTCGGTCTATCACTGTCGCAGCCATGTTTATTTTACTGTCAACTTCGGGGAGAAGGTTTTTACTCCACGTCCTTAAGGCCTCATTTGTCATCTTCAACTTTTCTTAAAGCCGAAATCCTGCCCAACCTTGTATGCTAGTATTACTCCAAACTTCCTTTATCAGCTCTTTGCAACCATCCTATTCAAGCCAAGCATCGAAAAATTTGAAGGGCTTAGGACCCCAGTCTACTTTTTTGTGTTTAAGCAGCAGAGGACAGTGATCAAAGACTACCCTGCTTAATCCCCATTGTCTGACCTCTTCCCACTTTTCTAACCATCCCCCAGACAGTAGGAATCTGTCGATTCTGCTCATTGAGTTGCCATTGGTCTGATACCATGTATACTTTTTGCCATGAAGTGGTAGATCTACCAGCTCCGATTCGTGGATGAAATTGTCAAATTCCCTCATCTCTGATGATACTCCTCTGCAGCCATTCCTTTCCTCTGCTCTCCTAACTGTGTTAAAGTCTCCAACCAGACAAATGATTCCTCCATTCCCTGATACTAAATTTTTAAGCTCCTCCCAAATGCCCTTTTTCCTGTTAGATGGCACGGGGAATAGACATTGATAATGATAAAGGAAGTGTTTTCTGGCTTCCAAATCCCTTCCACTCCTAAGAAGTTTTCTCCCTCTAATACTCGGATCTTACTAATAGTTTTCTGATCCCATAAACACAGTAACCCTCCTGACCTTCCTACTGAACCCTTAGCAGCCCAATCAAATTCCTCTGAACCCCAGATTGCTCTACACATCTTTCTGTCAACCACACTAAGCTTCGTTTCTTGCACCGCTAAAAAAAACACCCTTTCTCTATTCACTAATTCTTTAAGGTGCCTCTTTTTCCTAGCACCCCCCAGCCCTCTTACGTTATGCGAAAGGATATTCATGGGTTGGGAACACTGACCTTCTGAGCCTTGCACGCTTTCTTTGATGCCTCGGCTTCCTTAACTTTCCTATCTCTTTCTTCCATCTCCTCGAGGCTTCTAACAACTGCCTCCTCGTTCTCTGCTGTTGCCCCTATCTTTTTTGCAAAATCCCAGAGTTGCTCTACCACTTTCCAGTTTGATTGACCCATCAATAATCTGTTGCGGTTCACAATTTCACTATCACCCAAAGACCCCCCTGCTACTGAATTGCTGGTGCAAGCTATGAAATCCGGAAAGCCCTCTGATTCTGACTCAGCATGTCTCGGCTTAGCTTTGGCTCTGCCCTTTTTCTTCTGGTTCAACATTCCTAGAAGGCTAGCTCTTTGGTACACGGATCTGCACAGTTTTGCTCTCTTCCTGCTCCTTGTCTTCTCTTTTCTCCGAATCTTATCCAACTGCTCCCTCTCTGATCCTTCCTCACTCCGTCGGGTTGACCTGAGAGTAGATGAACCTTCTGCATTGATTCCTTCCTCTGTTTGCCTATCTAAACCGCGTGACTTCTCGTTGAGGCCTTCATCTGCTAACCTCATTTCGGAGCCCATTTGATTGTTGTCACCTGAATCCCCTTGGTCCCTATGTGCTTTATCCGAAAATCTACCTGCAGCACGAGTCTTTTCTGTTCAGCCTACACCGGCTGGACTCATTTTGCAGCCCATTTGCTGGTTGGTGCTAGAGGCCTTAAAGGCCCTATCTTCTTTGCCTGAGACTCCAGCTACACTATGGGTCTGACCCAAAAAAGCCTGCATATCCGCACCACTCCACTCTGGGCTTTCAATAGGATCTGTAGTTGACTAAACCTTACAATTTGAATTTGATTCAAACTTCCCGTCAGCATCTCTGCCACCTGCTTCTGACAAGTCTTCTCCCACATTAATGCTATCAGCTACCATTGCCACCGACTCCTCTTCTACAATCCGGCTCAATGATCTCTTGTCAGACTCTTTGTAACGTTCCCCTGCGAAGCACTTTTCTACTGATTCAAACCTCTCCTCGAAATCCGAGACATCTACCAACCCTTTGTGCCTCCAGCTGCAGTCTCGGATGTCCTCCCTGTCATCATCTTCTCCGACTGAAGGCTCCCATTCACCACCGTGTTTGCCACCTTGCTGTCCTTCATCCCAATCACTTACTTCAGACCATTGTTCTTCAATTTCCGAATCACTCGCAAACTTTGGGATGAAGTCCTGTCTCAATGAGAAGAGGCTATTGGCCCATTCCTCTTCCGAGAACTTTAAATTGAATAATTCCCCATTCACTTTGATTTGCCTCCTGACTGAGATTGAATCCATGATTGGCGTTGAGATGAGGAATCTTGCTATATCAAACCTCCTCTTACAGCTTGTGCTGTCATCCAGAGAAATGAATTTACCCCAAGCTGATGACATTCTCTTGAAGAAATCTGGGCCCCATGCGTGTAAAGGTGCTCCCTGGCATCTTACCCATGCAAATCTTTCTTTAGCCACTTCTTTTGGAGTCCAAGGCTTCACCTCTGAGAACCATTGGCCTAACCAATCTGCCGCACCATGCACTAAATCTGCAAGCTCTCCCTTATCCTCACAATCCAAGAGAACCAGCTTGCCTCCCATAGCACGAAGACGACATGTGAAATAACCTTCCATGTAGAACTTTTCCTGAAGGTTTGGAACAATTTCCACAGAGTGGGCTATTCCGACATAACACCCCTGTAGCCACTCAAAATCTTCATCTTTAACTTCAAACTCGAAGCCGGACCATTCCTCTCTTCTGCTTTTCTCTCTCCATGTTTGTCTTCTCAACGGCTTCCAGTTTCCTTCTGATTTGCTGTGGTTCCTTTGAGCATCTTGTAGCTGAGGTGGTGGTTGATGATCCTCTGTTTTCCTTTCCTTCACTCCTACACGCCCACCCGCTACTTCAGCATACGATCTGTTTTGGATAGTGTTAACTATGGGTGCGGTTTTGCTAATCTCCTTCAATGTCACTTTTTCCTCTGGATACTTAGCCACATTCACCCATATTTTCCTTCCTTCAATCCAGATCTGATCTAGTTGACTCTCAAGGTCCTTTACATTTTTGACATCCAAGAACTTGACGAAGCCGAATCTGCTGCCACTGCCGAATCTGCTGCCACTCTTATTTCTTCTCATCGGGCTGTAGATTGCAATCACTCTTCCAAACTTGCGAAAGGTTGACCACATATTTGTGTAGCTCCACTCCTCAGGGAAATTAGTGAAGAAGAAGGCTGTTGCTTGTCTGTACACCCCCTTATCGTAACCCCAATCTCCCAGCATCTTCTGCTCCCTGCTATGTCCCGCAAAACCTCCTGCATCTGATCTCCTTGTGTAGCTGCTTCTCCCATGAGGACGTGCAGCCTCTCTGTCCTGTGCTGTCCGACCAACCCTTGTTCGATAACTGCTTTCCCGATCCCAAGCTCTTTTCCTACCTCTCTCTCTCATCTCTCTTCTCTTTTAAATCTCATAGCCTGTTGTTCCCTGGAGGGGTGCGTGAGGCTCTTCACAAGAAGGTAACATATTGAATAACTAGCCATAGTATTGTGCAACTGTGATAACCCAACTCTTGGTAGCTAGGCATATTGATTAATTAATTTTTCCAGGGTGAAGCATACAAGTTATTTTGGCCAGAAAGGTCTGAGTTTGTGAGGATGGCTACTAGATTTGGAGCCAAAATAGTGCCATTTGGTGTTGTTGGAGCAAATGATTTTGCTGAAGTAATTTTTTATTATAATGATCAAATGAAGAGACCTTACTTTAGGGAATTTATAGAAGATTTGACAGCAGAGGCTGTGGTATATTGAGGTGTATATATATTTTCTGATTGAGTAGTCTTAAATTACAAAATGAAATCAATGTCCATTTGATGAGCTTTTTGTAATCTTGAAATGATCGGAATGAAGGAGATGGCGAGGTGGCAAACCAACAACTTTACCAACCATTGCTGGCACCAAGGTTTCCAGGAAGATATTATCTTTATTTTGGGAAACCAATTGAAACCCAAGGTATGTACATATATATTGTATAATAATAATTTAATAGTACTAATCAGTTTAAATTAATTTATGGAGTAAAATTTTATTTATGTTTTGGCTCATGGCTAGCTTTAATTGAAATGTTAAAAACTGTTTGTTTGGTTTTGGTTTTATTATTATATTATATAAAAGGAAGAAAGCAAGAACTGAGAGACAAGGAGAAATGTCATCAACTGTATTTACATATAAAGTCTGAGGTTGAGAGATGCATTGCTTACTTGAAGCAGGAAAGAGAAGAAGATCCATACAGGAATATTGTACCTCGGCTAATGTACCAAGCTACACGTGGTTTCAACTCTCAAGTTCCATCCTTTGACCTTTAATCTTACTCCCTATTGAGTGGTGTTGAATCCCTTGGGAATAGCTATCCATGTACTCTCATAACTTGACACCGATTAAAACTTTAATAATGTGTATTATTTTATTAATTTATTCTAGAAATTAATACAGCTATAAAAAGAATTATATTATTATAAGGATAACTTATTTTAGAGATTTTATAGAAGATTTACCTTTAACATGTCTTATAAGTTAGATAAACCCTAATTTGAAATCTATTTGTAGAAAAGGAAATATGTAATATAAATGATGATATACTTATATTAAATTTAATTAAACATTCAAATTAAAGTGTAAAGTAAATAATGTATCGGTTAAACCCTTGTTGATAGAAATTGTATTTACTAATAAATAAAATAACTCTAGCTTATTAAGAAACTTCTCAATTTTATATATTCCTATTTAGTTTCTTAAAAAATACATATTACTTTAATCAAACATAACCTTAGAATTTATTTCAGAATACAACTTTTATGTCTTGCTTTTAGATGCTTCTTATTTTAGAAATTTAAAAATTTATTCACCTGATATATTATTTTTTAGAATTTAAAATGATAAAAAGCAAAACATAAAAATAATTCTGTCAAACAAATAGATTTATTCCTACCGTTCAGCAACTCATTGACATCCCCATCAGCCTACCTAACATTCTCCATTTCCCTTTTTTCAACATCCTCCATTTCTTCTTGCTCTTTCCTAACATTCTCAATAATATAGAAAAGGGAAAAATATTTTTTTGAGTAAAATATAAATTTATTACCAAAACTTCCACTTGTTCAACGCTTAATAATATAGGTTACTGCCAAATCTATATACAAAAAATGAATCAACTATACAAAAATGCTATGTCGATCTCCACACTAAACTTTTAATCCTCATTTTCCGGCCATCCTGTTAGGCATAGGGGAGGTTTTGCTATAACAAAACCAAGTTCTTTGTCTTGAACATTTGCTTGTATACAACACAGTTGCAAACTCACTTTTGAATGTCTGTGAATTCTGGTTTTGCTGCACACCATGCTAATCTTATAAAAATGTTGTATAATTATTTCTGTTTGGCCTTGTGACATAACCAAGACAAAATAGGTTGCCAAAAGCATGTGGATGGAATTTCTAGCATGTAGGAAATAACATCCCAAACAATCCTAGAGCAGAAGCATAAGAAGAACAAATGGTATCTAGTCTCATTTTCAGCCCCCCACACAACACACAAGTAGCATCTATATGGGAGACCATGATTTTTTTCTTGTCCTGGTTGAAAGCCTATTCAAATTAGCAAGCCAAGACATAAAGCTATGTCCTGGTATAGAACTTGCAAACCAAACAAGCCTAAACCAAGGCACTTTTGCTTGTTTTTCCCTCAATTGATTCCATGTGTAACTAGTTTTAAAGGATCTTGATAGAGAGGCAAGCCATATAACCGAGTCTTCTATTGCCTTTATTGGATACAAATTGCCACATAATGCAATTTGTATCAATTCTGTGGACCTAGCAAAGACTATTTCCAAAAATTACATTGCACTACTTAAGACAACTTTGCTTACAGTGGAATTGCTACATCTTGTGCAATTTCCTGACCATAAACTTCAAGTAATGGCCTTTTTGGATCTCAAAAGTCAAACTAGAGAAAAAGTACTCTCCCCATTTCCTATCATGTGCTTAATCAGATATCATGTACTTAATTAGATATCTAGCTATGGCTCTCAAACTTAAAATTTTCCCCCAAATCCAAGGGGTGTCACCTAGTATTTTTAATAACCAAAACTTTTCCTTTTAATTGGATATGCTAGTATCCAAGTCACCCAAATTGAACAAACTATAGAGAAAATCAACCAAATAAATCTTAAAACACAAGTTTTATTCCAATTTTGCAGTGGTATTACTAACCTTTGCTCCTTTAGCGTCTATAGCTTTGCCTTTAATAAACAAAACATTATATATGGCCTCTACTGACACAGTAATCCTCCTGCAAAGGACAAAAAATAGAGGGCTAAAATTAATTTTTCATCTACTAACTATTACTCTTTTTTCATTTTAGTCTAGAAAGTTTAGTTTTTTTCAAAATCATCTATAAATTTTGAAAATCATTTCAAATTCATCTATCCAATAAACTGCGGTTAGTTTTTTTAACGGAATCCTATGACATGCTTATGTGGCACATGCAATTCTAAAAAATTACACTTTAACCCCAAAAACTTCATAAAATTTTCAATTAAGTTTTATATTCAAACCATTCTATTTTCTCAGCAATATTTTTTCTTTATGTTTTTTATTTTTAATTTTGTAATAAATTTATATGTTTTAATTTGGATTAACAACTAAAAATTCATCATTGTCATTATTAGGATAAAATTATATCATTTCTTTTTTTATTTAGTTCAGAAAATTAATTTTATTTGTATTATCTCTTTCTCAAAATAACTTTTGTTTTTTTTTTTTTCAAATTAAGAATTTGAGGACAATTTATGTTTACTTATATTACCCTTAAAAAGAAATAAAAAATGAAGAGAAACATTTTGTGATGGGATGATTAATTAAAGTAAATAGATAATAATAAGGTTAAAGTAAAAAAATAGATTTGTTTACCTTGAAAAATAAAAAAAAATTAATTTGAGATAAATTTGAAATTATGAAGCGATAATTATTTTAGAACAAATGGAGTAAAGTTATAATGTTCTCCCTACATCCCAGAATAAAAAGCATTTTTTATTTAGAATTTATCTTAAAATAATATTATTTTTTATATTTTAAAGGAAATAAATTTTTTATTTCTACTTTAATTTTATGATTGTATCTTAATTTTAATAATTTTTCTTATTAAAAAAGAGTAATGATAGGGAGGACGAAAATTTAAGAATAATAATGTGATATAAATTATATCATTAAATTAGTTAATTTATATAATATTACATATTCTAAAAAAATCATTAAATAATCTTTGATTTACTTTTTAATATTTTAAATAACGTGGCATAAGTTAAATTTTAATCCCAAATTTTGGTCCTATTTATCATTATTTTTATAAAAGGTTCTTTATTTTTATTTCTTTTTTAAGGATAAAAT